ATGCTTAAATGTCATTAATGAGCTAATGTTGTCATCTTCTACTTGGTAATCTACATGTTTCTAACACCTGGCCATCTCAGATAGGCAAATTCCTGCTTGGAAAAGGCAGGCCTGTGGCAGTGATCCCAGAGGAACACATAATTTCCCAGCTGTGCTCTGGCCATTCTGGTGCTCCAAGGTGCTTGTGCTGGCAGGAGGTGAGTCTATGTGCTTCAGGAAAGGTGTAGAAGGTTACAGGAAGTTGTGGGCAGTCTGCCCCAAGGAAGGTCTCCTCCCAGTTCCCATTCCAGATACCTGTTAGTATTCCTTTCAGACCTTTCATAAAAAAAAAAAACAACAAAAACCAACAAACAACAGTGAGATATCTCATTTCAGAACTATTCGAAGCCATTTTCTACTTCTTAATGACACAAATAAAAGCAATAGAAATGTTACAAAAAATCATTAATTAATGAATTTCAGTGAAGCATTTTCTGCTATAATGTTTGATGAATAAGCAGATGCTTCTGCACTAATTGAAAATATTCCCACTCAGGTTTTGCTTCAGGTTAGTAATGAGATTGTTCTGAGGGGAAAAATGAAATACAGGTATGTTGAATAATACCTATGAAGTGTGGTAGAAAACAAAGCTGTCAGAGCTTTGTATTCTGCCACCAGCGATCCCTCCAGGTAGCTCACCAGAAGACAAAAACAGCAGTAAAAGAACTTTGCCTTGCTACAAAGAGAATCACCACAACCAGGAACTTTCCTGGTGGGAAACAATAAAGTGCGTTTGACAGAAGATGTTAATGTTAAACCATAGAAAAAGGTGTTTTTTACCACTTTTTGGTGATACAAAAAGGTGCCCTTTGGTAAAGGGCGAACCGTTCACTTACCAGTAAAGAAGGCATACAAATTATTATATGCATTAAGCATGACCAAATCTAAACTGTTTAGAAGAACTTTAGAAATGTTTTAATTAAACTATCATTTTTTTTTCATTTTGTTCCATTAATGTTTGAAGAGGGAAAATGATGAAATAAGTTAACACATCAATTTGCAGCGTATGGGATTTCTTTCACAGCCTGTCAAATTTATATGCTCCTTGCACTGAAGCTTTCTAGCTGATATGCTTTATAAAGACTGCTGGCTGTGCCAAAAAAGCCTGTCTGATCTTTGAATCAATAAGTACAGGCTTAAGTGTATGCATATGCAATAGTACAAATGCTATCTGCTTCAGTACAGAGGGTGGTTTAAGGCATCTTTAAACCATACATGCTTAAAAGAAGCTGTTTTCAAACAACCATAATTTTCTAAAAATAATAACATTGCAACCAACAATGTGTCTTTCAGCACTAATTAATTTTTTTTTGTTTATTACGTAACATGTTGTTAACTCCATAATTTGAGGTGGGGTAACTCAGGCACACAGGGATTACACAGCTTTTGCACGGGGAGGCTTCCTTAGGATCTGAAACAGATCCAGCTCTTTTGTCTTCTAAACCATCTGCTAGATGCCATCTGTCCTTTCATACATTCAACTGCATCAAAACAGTGTTTTTCCAACCCAAATATAATGTTTGCAAATGCAAGTGCACCAAATAGTGCATCAGAAAGTATTCAGAGATGTTAATAGTCAGTGCAGGCTTTGGCCAAAACATACCTTTGTTGTAAGTTTCCACTAGGTGTTACCTCACTTGCATCTGCGAGCATCAGCACTGAATTTGATTTCTGGTCTGTACCAACTTCATGTTTTGAACATCAGCCATTTTTGCTGTGGTTTTATCTGAAATACCAGAATTAAAATATGTTTAAGATCCCTTGAGTTTAAATGCTCAAGGGCCAGACATCCAGCAGAGAGAATTCCTAGTGAGGTAAATACAACTTCTGTTTCCACAGGACTCTATATACGTATTGACATTTCTTCTCCATCTTTCTACCCAAAAATTTGGTCCTGAGAAGAAGACCAGGGGAGTGGTAGACCAGTTCCTCCCAAACTACATTGTTTTATTCCCAAGTAAATATAACTATGGTTTGACTCCAGATCATTATGTTTACAGGTTTTAAACTGTAGAACTAACCCCATTTACTGCAAATCTGGACAGCAACTGGAGGTAGTGCTGTCCTGCAGTGCTGGGCTGCATCCAATTTAAGCTGATGCTGTTCTGTGATGGTCCAGAAGAGGAGCCATTAATCCTGTGCTTCCCAGCTCCACTCATTTATAAGTGATTCCTCTGTGAGAGATTTCACCCTAACCAAGAAGCTGATGTGTATATGCAGTATATGAGATGTGTTGTGTACCCAGCAGGTACACATTCATAGCTTTATCTGTGTTTCACCTTCCTTTTAAAAATGAGCTTTTCATGGATACAAGGATGATAAAAACCTGTATGCACACCATCTCATTCTGCTTTACTGATACTTTTCTTACATGGTTTCTCATACTTTTACACAGCTAAGGTTTTTATCTGCAGTGATATCTGTCACAGCATCTATCATTTGTGAGGTGTGGTAAGCATGCTTTTGCAATGAGGGCTTCATATGTGTACATGCTGGGGAACAGCTGTGCCAAACTATCAGCTGATGTTTTGAGGGCACTATGTTGAAATGACAGCAACATGTATAGTCAGATCTGCAGCATGTCGCTAACTACCAAATCCAGCCTTTTCCATAGGTGTGTGTCACTGCTGCTGCACCCACTTCACTGGGTGTGTCAGCCTCCAGAAGGCGTGTAGCTGTTTGTAGGGATGATTTTGCACCTTTGCTTCTGCGCTAGTAATGGCCTGAAATGTAGGGCATTGTCCCCTGCAGAAGCCACTTATAGCAATACAGTAAGGTGGAAGGGCGTTGATTTTGCAAGCTCTGTGCTATTATGCTGTCTCTGGCTGTAACTGTGCAAGTATGGGTGGTAACAATGGTGCTGGGCATACCCTTTATCTGTGTGGTGTGTGGAGGACAAAATTGTGGTAAAGGAGTTGCATAAAGGCTGTGTAACCCTCTGAGCCTCTGAACCAGTGTGACCTGGCACACACTCCCTTTTACTCTGCCAGCGGGATATTCTGTAGATCTGGATGCCCTTGATGGACAGGGCCCGAGTGCCAGTCGTTATTAGAGGCTCCTGTTGTCCTGTCCTCAGAAGATCATGTGGAAGAATTTGCCACAGGGTTATATATTTATACACAACAGGTTAGCCATATTAACAACCTGCTGAGATAAATGGGTATTATTCAGTTCATTTTATGTATGGTGAAATCAAGCCTGGAGAAATGCAATGCCAGTTCCTGCTCTCTGGAATGGAATAGAGCAGAAATGTTGGGATCTCCCTTAAGTTAACTAAATCTTGTCCACTCATTGGTATAAAACCTTCGTGCACTGATCTTTCCAGTGCCATATTCAGACATGACTGGTTAAGGCATGAGCCTCAGGCCCCCACTTGGAAAGAATCTGAAGATCCACTAGGGAGTTGTAAGCAAGACACATATTACTTCTAAAACATAACATTTCCTACACTAGGAATAGTGAAACTCCAAATTTCTCACAAAATGTGTGAGAGTTTTCTTGTACATTTTCATTAAGCGGCTGCTCCAAAGCTTTTTACTCGGCAGGGTTCTCAACAGAAAATTTTGTAGTAGTTGTGTGTGTATAACACAATGGTGCTTTAAAACAACAGAACTAGAGAAGAAGCTAATACCAAGAATATGTTGAAATCAGAAAAACAGCCATTACCTTGTAAAGGACTTTGAAATTGTCTTCTACAAGCTCCTGTCCGCACTCAGCCCAAGTTGACATAAATCCCTCTCTTCAGACTTGGAAAAGGCAGGGAAATCCCCAGAGAGGGCTGCTGTACAGGTGCACTGTGCTTCCTGCTGGGGATTGCACTGCCCATTTCAGGGTGTTGTGATGCTGGGCTTGGTGTTAGCCTGTGAGACATCCATTCTTACTGTAAGAGGCAATTAATACTCAAGATTTTTGCCAGGATTGCAAAGCTCCAGTGGGAATGAAGGTACTTGTCATCCAGGTAAGAGTCACAGCTCTACATGGCAGCTAAATGGACTCCCAGAAGGGAAGGTGACACCCTAAACGGTTGTGCTTTTTAGAAGGAAGCTATTGCATATGAGTAGGTACACAAAATATGCACATTTTATCTGCCATGCACATTTCATCAACCCCAGTCTAGCCACAAGTCCTTATTTTGCCTCAGGTCTTGTCTAAAAATTTTAGGTCTTATCTATGTAATGGAACAGGATTCTTAAAACCAAAACCTGAGAAGCCTTGTCACTGGAAGATCTATATGTTAGAGACAATATTAAAGTATGCCTGAATGACAAACCCCAACCAGATACTGTAATACCTGTCCAAAAATCATAGGAATGGAGGCTCTCATGGACACAGAACAGTAGTTCTGTATCTGTATTACGTCAGCAATTCATGAAGCTACAGTCTGAAGAGATCCTCAGCTCAGTATAAATGAACAGAACTCTTTGGACTTCCGTAGAGTCTTTACAGACACCTATTTTATGTCATTTGCAGGCAGAAACACTAACAGAAATATAATACTTGCCTTTTCATTGAGAAAGGGGCAACTGAAAATGTGAGGGAGGAAAAAGATCTTGCCCTAAAAGAGCACAATCAAATATTTATATTAATTAATATTAATTAATAATCGTATTAACTTAATAATTATTATTATACTTTGAGGATCAATTTATTAATACGTGTCAACATGAAAACAATCTTTAATTTTTTTTAATAAACTTGTTGAATAATTATATTTTTTTTCTTTTATTTCTGCCTAGCTGATTCTAATAACAAAAGAACTGGTCTTCTTTGCTGTAGTCATACTAAAAGCCATAGGATTTAAAGATGGAAAGCAAAAGAGACAAGTGGCAATAATGACTCTGAGCTTCAATAGAGAGAACTTTGTAGTACGGTTCCCAGGAGCTGCTGCTTTGAAAGACAAAGGAGCTCAGGAGAGAGGGGGTATATGTATTGATATTTAGGAATAACTTTCTCTAAGCATGAGAAGCATGCACTTCTGTATGCAGGGCATGCTGGGACGTATGAGGAGACCAAACTGCTAAATGGTGAACTTTTGACTGGGTTTACGTGGAAAAAGGAAGCCTATGGGAGATGGAAGCAGGAATAGGCTGTTCAAGAGAGTAAAGAAGGAATGCACAGGCATGTAGAGGTTAAACTAGAAAAGAAAAAGCTTAGCCAGAGTAAAATCTGGTGAAGGACATGAAGGGGTACAAGAAGGACTTCTATTGGAACAAAAGCAGCAAGAGGAAGACTAAGGCCAAGTGGACAAGTGACCTAGTGATGAAGGAGATAGAAAGGCTGAGGTGTCCATGCCCCAGTCTTTTGTGGCTAGGTCTGTTCTCAGGCTTCCCATGTGTTTGGAGGAATACAGCCAAGGTTAGAGGAAGACTTAAGGGATTACTTAAGTAACCTGAACACATAGCCAAGCAGGGTGCATGGCTGATATCCCTGCAAAGCTGATCTTTATCTGTTCAAAAGATTGCAATGATCAGAAGTTCCCAATGACTGCAGAAGCAAATGTCACACCCATCTTCCAGAAAGCCAAGGGAGAAGAGCTGGGGAGATACAGGCCAATTTTCTTCAGTCCTTGTGAAGATTATGAAGTAAATCCTTCTGTAAACCATATCCAGGCACATAAGAGAGAAGAAAGTGATAGGGAAAAAAACAAGTACAAATTGTGCTTGACCAACCTAATTGCCTTCTACAATGTAATGACTGGATCTGAAGATTAGGGCAGAGCAGTGGATGTCATTTACCTTCACTTTTGCAAGCTTTTTATTCTGTCTCTTGCAGCATCTTTGGAGAGATAGAGACTAGCTTCATGAATTACAAAGTGAGTAAAACAAAGGCTGGAATAACAGGCTGGAAGTGTCATAGTGCTGTTTATAGGAATTCATTTGGCATTCCTATTGGGATCAAATTGTTTAACATCTCCATACATGGCTTTGACAGTGGAACAGCATGTGCCCTTCACAGGTTCACAGATGACATCCAGTTTGGGGGAGAAGTCATTGTGCTGGATGATATGGCTGCCATTGGAGTTACCTTGACAAGCTGGAGGAATGGGCTGACAAACATTCTATGAAATTCAACAGGGGAAAATGCAGTCCTGCATCTGGCATGGAATAGCACCATGCCACAGTACGGGGTGGGGACTGAGCCAGAAAGCAGCTTTGCAAAAATAGGCCTGGGGTCGTTCTGCACAGCAAGCTGGATATGAGTCAGCGGTGTGCCTTTGCAGCAAAGGTGGTCAACTACATACTGAGCTGTGATAGCAAGAGTGTAGCCAGCAGCACAAGGGAGGAGCTGCTTCTACTCTATTCTATTCCATTCTATTCTATTCAATTCTGAATAAACTGCCTGTATGTCCCATTTAGATTGACACCTAATGAAAGGGAATGGAATCTGCAACTCCTGGAACAAGATTAAACATTGTATTTATTGTAAGAATGTGAAAATGTTCAAGAAAAGGTAGGCTGTGTCTGGTAGAAACCAACAGCAGAACAGAAAGTAACAACAGGAGAAGCCAATGACTGGTAGTTCTCCAATAGACTTCCCTAGCTGCTAGAAATCTGTGACCATTTGATCTGTCTTTGAAATGAGTTTTATGGGCACCCCCCAAATGACAGAACAATCTGTCTCTTTCAGCACCAAAGAACCCTGTCTGAAACATTAAAAAGGGAATTAAAAAAAGCATGGAATAAGTTCAGGCTGTAGCTACTTACTGGCATAACCTTCTGGGGAAGAAAAATAGTTTCTTTGATATTCAAAATTCTTAGTACGTCAGAAAAACTACAGTTTATCTGTATTTTCTACAATGACTCAGTTTACCTGTATTTTCTACAATCCTTCTAAAAGATCAGTTGTTAAAGTGTGTTAAAGAAAGAAAAAGAAGTTGATATAATGCAATATAACAACATACATCAGACACTGGGTAAGGAAAAATACCTAGTAATAATGAAGAATTAACTCTGAACATGAAAATGGCTATCATGCAGCCAAAAGTTAATAGAGGTACATATGGTATACAGTAGCATTCATTCTACCAGCATGGTCTAGAAAGGAGTATCTGTAGGTATAGGTCTAGCTCCAGGGTGTATTCAAATGCCACAGAGGTTATTTAACTGCAGAAAGGAAATCATACTTCGAATATTTTTATAATTTTACACAGTACAATATTTGTATCTAAAGAACAATGCCCCTTAGGACAGTATCTTATTACAAAGTCTATCTCCTCTCTTTTGTTGATGCAGGGGTAAGGGAGAACACCAGATAATTCCACCAAGGTGCAGGTCCATGCATAACACAATGCCAGCCCAGAACTGTTCAGTGGCTGCAGCACAGAGGACATGGTCCTCAGACCCACTTGTTATTGTGTCAAGAAGCAGCTGAAACATCCATTTATATGAGAGGTGAGGCTAGAGAAAATGGCATCTGGTCCATGTTATGCATAGAGACTGCCAAGAAAATATTCCTGTGTAGGTACAGTGACCTGTAATAATGAATCATTGATCTTGCTGCTGTTTAAACAGGTATCGGAGGTGATTCCACCTTTTTCACCTCTTCCTACTCCTCCTTTCCTTTTTGCATACATGAACTCAGCTTTGATGTTAAGTTTAAGTAGATTCTTGCTGCGTATTCGATTTCTGTGGTTAAGGCTTGCCATGCATTCAATGAAGAAACATGAGCTCGTGCCTGCAGGACTCGGAGTTTCCAGATGGTTCTCCTGTGTTGTGTCTGTACACTAATAGCACAGTGTAATAACAACCCACATGGGCAATAATAGCTTATAGAATTTTTGTTATCTGGCTGTCCAACTTAAAGGACATGGTGGGTACAACGTATATTATAATCTTATATATGTGATATTTTAGCCTTATTCTTATGAATAAATAATACATAGCAGCAGTTGATTGAGCAAAATGGTAAGTCTGTGCTTAATCTCACTACCTTGTGCACCTGCATATCTTCTATGAACTGCTTTAGGTTTCATCAGCAGTGGGGAGGAATACAGACACTTGGAGAGGAAGACACATTCAAACACCCTTAAATAAAACAAGCCATTGCCTGAGATTTTCTGTCTCTACCGATAATACTAAGAGCCTAAAACAGTGACTAGGTGAAATACCTAAGTGTTAAATGACTAAAGAAAATTAATCCCACCCTATATATAGTTTAGGTAAACTTCATCTGTCTTGAGCCAGTGTGTACAGTGTGTATATTCTCTACGTACATATAAACAGAATGTGCTGTCCTATTATGAATAATAAGAATGCTTTTCATGTATCTATTTCATTCACCCCAGGATCTCCTCTTCTTATAACCATTAATTAATGTGGCTTCTTAACAATCCCCTGAGGAAAGAATTGTGCCCAATTTAGAGATGAAGAAATGCAGTTTTAGCATGCTTAAATAAGATGTCCCAGGTTGCACAGAAAACCAGCCACATAAACGTAAATACCAGAGGATGCCTCACGGTTGTAGCCCAAAGATAAGATAATCATAAGGTGTGGCTCCCAAATCAATATGGCACTTGCTGCCACTTATTCAAAGTAAATAGGTTGAGGTGTGGTGTGCGCAGGGTAATTCCCGATGTGTTCACATCAGTCGTACATTAAACTTGGTACAGACGTAGCCAGACTAAGGACAGAACAACAGGGCAAGATCGAATACCTTTTCTACATACTTGAGACGTTTGTCTGTACGATTCATGTATTTTGACTCTACAGAATCCAACCTTTCAGCAAGGAATCATGGTCTGAGGGAAGCCATGTGGAGGACATGGGAGTACTGGTGGACGAAATATTGGACATGACCTGGCAATGTGCTCTTGCAGCCCAGAAAGCCAACCATATGCTGGGCTGCATCAAAAGGAGTGTGACCAGCAGGTCAAGGGAGGTGATTCTCCCCTCTACTCTGCTCTCGTGAGGCCCCACCTGCAGTACTGCATCCAGCTCTGGGGTCCCCAACACAAGAGGCACATGGACCTGTTGGAGTGAGTCCAGAGGAGGGTCAGGAAGATGACCAGAGCACCTGGCTGGAGCACCTCTGCTATGAAGAAGGGCTTAGAGTGTTGAGGTCCTACACCCTGGACAACAGCTGGGAAGGTTAGTTGGTTCAGGCTGAAAGTAGGACAGGGAACATTTTAACTTGCTAGTATAGATGATTTCAATTCAGGATTGTGGAACACTCCCCGATGCCAATTTATTAGTGGGCAAGTAGGCTTCTACTGATGCCAGGTTTTGTTCACACCATCAGTAAGTTTCATGTCCAAACCTACTATCATCATTGTGTGCATTGCCAGAGCTGCAGGACAGATCGTGTGGTGTGGCTACCTCTCTGCTTTGCCATATGGAAGCCGCAAACACATGAATACTTCAAACGTTGCTGAAGTAATCTCAAAGTATTATTCACACAATTCCCTTTATGCTTTCATTCTCTCTCCTTTTTTTTTGTCATTCTCCCATGTATGAATAACTTCCTGATGTGTTGTCAATTTGTATGATGTTTCACTCTCCATTTCCATATGGCCCTCTCCATTTCCTCCACAGTTCATTGCTAATATGCCAGCCAACAAAATATGCCAGGTCACCTTTCTGCTGCTATCTGGGTCATGCTATGGTTTGAGTTAACTGCTGGTGTGAGCAACTAACAGCCAACTCCTTCAGCCACCATTGCCTACGGTGACATAACTATGAACAGAAGTTTTCTCATCCTTTTCCTGGATGATACAGGTGAAAGTAACTGAGAGGTTGCATGTTAAGGGCAAAGAGGAAGGAGAACAGAACACAATGACCATGGGTCTCAAGATCAGCCTCTGGAAGTGGCTGCACTGGAAGGTGTTCTGCTGAATGCTACAAGTGCTGGACAAAGTAAAAGCTGTGGACATGTCTTGGAGAATGATCTGTGGCCAGAAGAAGGTCCATGGATCCTTTTTACTCTTGTCATGGGTGAATTGTAACAGAACAGAAAGAGACTCCTAAATTTGACTCCAGTATCCAGCTTTCTGCACTGGATTTATTACTGTTTTACAGCTAGGGATTGTATTTGGCATTGTATAAAGGTGGGAGAAATAAGTATTTATCTTGCAACAATCCTTTTTTACCTTAATCTAGTAATCTACAGAGGATGGAAGGGAAGTGATTTAAACATACAACTAAGGCCTCTTTTAAATTGTTTTTGCAATTTGCAGAGATATAAGAGATGCAGGTATAGTAAGGAAGAGTACCCTTCTCTTCCAGTATTTCTGTAGCTCTATCCTAGCTGTAGGCTGAGACAGATTAACTAACACTGAAAAATTGTCCCAAATGAATGGACTGAAGAACCCAGTACAGTTACAGTCTTTGGCTCATGTAATTTCTTAGCAAGCTTTTTCTGGCTGACAGGAGAAGGGTGTATGATACAATTGTTGGAATTCCTCTCATAGTTGAGCTTCTTTTCATGCTTGCCTGAATTTTCCCTTTAGTTAGCAAGCGACACCTCAGAACACTTCATATGGGTGGAATTGCAGGTGGGCAACAAGTTCATGTTTTCAGTGTTAAAGCCCATAATAGGCTGTTGAGTCACCAAGTAATGAAGAAATCTCCTTGGCATTAACAGGTGGAATTATGCTTATCTTTCCATAGTTTGTCTTTTTTTTTCAGTCTCCAATAGTAATGTATTCCAGGACCATTCATCATGGGAATGAAGCAATAGTGAAACGATTTCTGGTAACAAGATCATGATGACATACTATGTTGTATTATTATTTTCCCTAGTAAGTCCTCCCTCAGTTTCCCAGTTATTAAACATTTTTAGTAGTTAATAAAGAAAAATAAATTCTTAACATCGTTTCTGTTTGTTTATTTTGGCCCAGATTACTTTAGCTTTAAAGACTTCCAAATGCACACTATTTCAGATAGGAATAAAAGCATGTCATGTTGATAGCAAATCCTAACCAGGCTTTAATTTTTGACTAGACAAGAGGAGGACATTATTTCCCTCTTCTATTAAAAATAGTTTCAGTTGTTCTGCATGTACTTTTATTTTTGCACATACGTTTGATTTCGTTGTTATATTGGCAGAGTACCCTAAAATTGGGGTTATATTCTTGGAAATTGAAGGAGAAACATGCTGTTTCACCCAAAGCTTTTATTTTCAGTAGAGTCTCTTAAAATTCTGTAAAACCAGAAGTCTTTAATACACATCATATCAGTCCATAACAGGATATGGATATGCATAGCACACCAGTACACAACACACAACATGACCCCTGGTCACCTGGCATTCCTTCATTCCTAAACCGTATCACCCTGCAATAAGAGATGTGGGAGCAGGAGGTATTCCTCATTTTCCCAGGTTGCCTCCCCTTACCTCAAAGGGAGGAGATAGGATTTCTGTCTGTGCATGCCAGATTTACAAGCTGAGTGTGTACTGGGATAGTATATGTGAGCAGAGCCTGCCATTATCTTCTCAGATAATGAGATGATAACATAAGAAGTATGCAAATGTTCACTACATAAGCTGTGGCATGCTGCAGAGACATGGCCAGGGCTGCATCCTGGTGTTCCCCTGCACAGTGACATTTTCACTGTAGCCTGCACGTTCTTCCATCATCCTGCAGTCGTTAGGTTTCACATCATGATAGGAGCAGGTCAATGGGATTCCAACAGTGAAATCGCATGCTTTATTGATTACTTTGTCGGTAAGAGAGTAAAGTCTCTGTTGTCACAAAGGTAAACATCTCTTCAACAACGTGGCAATATATCTTTGCTGCTATTTCCTATATACACACATACATATGTTGAGTACCACTTGAGAATAATGGAATAGTAGCCTCAGAAATTCATTTTCCATGTGTTCATATGATGGGCAAATAATATGCATTTGAGTACAACTGATGACTACTGACACTTGGTAAGTCCAATTACAGACAGCTGCTATTTCAGGGATATTTGAAGACTTGTCCTATAACCCAGAGGTGTCATTTCAGTGCCTGACTTTGTATGGTGCTGCTCTCACAAATTCATTAAGAAAGGGAACAGGACTGACTCATGTGGCCATAGAGCTGCACCTTGATGCAAATAAGACAGATGCAGGTGAGGAAATGGATGGACCTTCTGTTTGGGAAAAATTATGTGAAGACAGAAAGAATAAGTGTAATTTTGCTATGTGGAAATTGGAAGGAATTCTCCCAAAGAGGATGGGATTGTTCCAGATTTATGAATGTTACCAAAATAATGCCAAGAGATAGGCATCAGGTAAGAGTGTGCATGGAAAGCTGATGAGAATTTAGTGTGAAAAAAGGAAAAAAGGTTAACTAGTGGTGAAGTTATTGGACAAGGCTTCAGGATAACAAGTGTTGTTACAGACAAGTACACATTTTCGTGAAGTAAGGAAAAAAGGTATGCTATTACAGTTCCATTACGATAACTTTCAGAATCTTGTTAAACAACCAAAACCATTTGCATATATGTCTCTCTCTAATGTTGAGTCTCTTCAGCGTTATTCGCCAGTGTCGTGGTTTAAACCCAGTCAGGTAACTTGTTCACTCACTCCCAGTGAGTGGTGCCGAGCTGACAACAATCGAGGTCTGTGTCGTCCCCCTCCCCACCGGGGTTCTCCCCCACTCCTGGAGGAACGGGGAGGAGGATCGAAAAAATGCAACTCCTACGGGTTGAGACAAGAACAGTCCAGCAAACAATGTACAACACAAATCACCACCGCTACTATCAACTACAACAATGATAAGGGAAAATAACAAGGGAAGAGAATACGATACCACCGGCCAAGAAAACGAGTCCCACCTGAAAGCCCGTGTCCTTCCGGGTAACTCCCAGTTACCCCCCACCCCGGGCATGACGTGCTGCGGTATGGAATACCTCCCCGGCTAGCCCAGGTCAGCCGCCCCGTCTCTGCTTCCTCCCGGCTTCCCCTCCTCCCTGGCAGAGCATGAGCCTCACAAAGTCCTTGGTCAGGGTAAACATCACTTAGCAACAACTGAAAACATTGACTTCACCAACACTGTTCTCAGGCTGGAAGTCAAAATACAGCACTGCACCAGCTAACACAAAGGAAAAACATGACTGCTACTGCTGAACCCAGGACATTATCCACCCCTTATTCCATACCATTCACGTCGTGCTCAGATCCCACATTTTCAATACACCATCGCTCTCCCATATATATACATCCATATACATACAGACCAAGAGGGAAAGATCATTTCTTAGTGCATGAACCAATCCCTATAATGCTGCCAAGTCCATTCGGTCCATAATGTTCCAAGTTCATTCTCTGTTGGGATTATGGCTGGAGGGAAGTCAGGGCCAGTCACTGGTGACCTGGAGACATCTAGTTGATGGGCTATAAAAGCATTACACAGCAGGCAACGGCATACAATTGAGTTCACTGGCTGTTTTCCCCTAAAATCAAATCCCCTTGAGGTATACATCGGACTTCCCCATCTTCCTGCATAACCCACCAAGTATATCCAGGTCCCTGAGAAAAAGCAATCCCACGAGTGGGTTTGCCTTTACCTGAAGCAGGAATAACCCAGACTGTCTTCCCCAGCAAATTCTTCATATGCACCACGGGAACTTTGTCCCCCTCTACAATATATAAAAGTTCTGACTGGGCTGGGCCGGCCCTGTTGGCAGATCCTCTGGTGTTGACCAACCAGGTGGCCTTTGGTAAATGTGTATCCCAATGCTTGAAAGTTCCCCCACCCATCGCTTTCAGTGTAGTTTTTAACAGCCCATTGTACCGTTTGATTTTCCCAGAGGCTGGTACATGGTAGGGGATGTGATATACCCACTCAATGCCATGCTCTTTGGCCCAAATATCTATAAGGTTATTCCGGAAATGAGTCCCATTGTCTGACTCAATTCTCTCTGGGGTGCCGTGTCGCCACAAAACCTGTTTCTCAAGGCCCAGGATGGTGTTCCGGGCAGTGGCATGGGGCACAGCGTATGTTTCCAGCCACCCGGTGGTTGCTTCCACCATGGTAAGCACATGGCGCTTGCCTTGGCGGGTTGGTGGCAGTGTGATATAGTCAATCTGCCAGGCCTCCCCATATTTATACTTCAACCATCGTCCTCCATACCAAAGAGGCTTTAACCGCTTGGCTTGTTTAATTGCAGCACATGTTTCACACTCATGAATAACCTGGGCAATAGTGTCCATTGTTAAGTCCACCCCTCGGTCACGGGCCCATCTATATGTTGCATCTCTGCCCTGATGGCCTGAAGTGTCATGGGCCCACCGGGCCAAAAATAATTCACCTTTATGTTGCCAATCTAAGTCCATCTGAGCCACTTCAATCTTAGCCGCTTTATCCACTTGTTGGTTGTTCTGGTGTTCCTCAGTGGCACGACTCTTGGGTACATGGGCATCTACATGACGTACCTTCACCACCAGGTTCTGCACCCGGGCAGCAATATCTTTCCACAGTGCAGCAGCCCAGATGGGTTTACCTCTGCGTTGCCAGTTGCTCTGCTACCATTGCTTCAACCACCCCCACAGGGCATTTGCCACCATCCATGAGTCAGTATAGAGATAAAGTACTGGCCACTTTTCTCGTTCAGCAATGTCCAGGGCCAGCTGGATGGCTTTCACCTCGGCAAACTGACTCGATTCACCCTCTCCTTCAGCAGTTTCTGCAACTTGTCGTCCAGGACTCCATACAGCTGCCTTCCATCTCCGATGCTTTCCCACAATACGGCAAGAGCCGTCAGTAAACAAGGCATACTGCTTTTCACTTTCTGACAGTTTATTATATGGTGGGGCCTCTTCAGCACGCACCACCTCCTCCTCTGGTGACATTCCAAAATCTTTGCCCTCTGGCCAGTCCATGATGACTTCTAGAATGCCTGGACGACTGGGATTTCCTATTCGAGTTCATTGTGTAATTAGCGCAGCCCATTTACTCCATGTAGCATCAGTTGCATGATGTGTAGAGGAGACCCTGCCTTTGAACATCCAGCCCAGCACGGGCAACCGGGGTGCCAGAAGGAGCTGTGCTTCAGTGCCAATCACTTCCGAAGCAGCTCGAACCCCTTCATAGGCTGCCAGTATCTCTTTCTCAGTTG